AATTTATTTCAATCAAATCAGAATTATTCAGATTAGGTGAAGAGAACAAGCCCTTAATCTTCTCATCCTGACTTTTCCTTATCCTTAAGGGAGGTTGATTATGGGGTATATTTGTCCAAAATACCCTTACTAAAAATGAGAAGATTACATTTGAACAGAGTTTCCAAGGGAGGTTGATTATGGGGTAGGGAGAGAGTATTATATAATAATAATTAACTAATACTTCCTAATAACCTATTCATCACATCTTATTTTTACCCATCATATTTTTGGAAAGTCAACACTACCATAACTAATACTCCCTCCGTCCAAGAATAATCTTCCTACTCTACCTTTCTTTTTCGTCCCAAAATAATCTTCTCATTCTATTATTTTATACCAATTCTTCCTAAATTACCCTTCTAATAATACCCTCTCTTTTCTTTTTCTTCTGCCATCTCTCCTCTCTTCCACTTTTTCTTCTTTTTTTGTCCCTTCATCTCATCCTCCTCTCTTCTTCCTTCATCTCATCCTCCACTCAATTTTCTTTTTTCTTTTTCTTCTTTCTCCTCCTCTCTCCTCCTCCGTCATCTCCTCTTCTTCACTTTTCCCCTTCATCTTTTCCCTTCTTTATCTCCTCTTATTTCTCTCATCTCTCTTCCAAATCTGAGCTTGGCAGCGATGGTGGCGGCAACAATGGTGGCGACGGCGATGGTGTTAGCGGGGATGATGGCGAATCTAGATCTCCACTTCTTCTCCTTTTTCTTCTTCTTCTTTTTTCTCTTCCTTCTTTCTATTATAGGGGGTGGCGTTGCTGGTAAGGGTGGCGCCGATGGTAGGGGGCGGCGATGGTGAGGATGCGTCCGTGGTAAGCCTAGATCTGCAATCTTCTTCCAATCTTTTTCTAATTTCTTTCTCAAAATTCTTTATTTCTTTGAGATCTAATGGTAGGGCTATGTTGGTGATGGTGGGAGTGAAGCGATTATGGTGGAGGGGGATGGTGGAGATGGTCAGAGAATGGATTGATGGTGGAGCTGACAGCAATGGCGGGGCTGGCGGCGAGGAGGGGAGGGGCTACGGTGGAGGCTGTGGTGGGTTTTTGATGGTGGCAGGGCTGGGAAAGGAAGGGTGGGTATTTTAGACAAATTACACCCATATTTAACACCCACTAAAAATGAGGAAAAGTCAAAGTAAGAAGTTTATTCCCGGACAGAGGGAGTACTTCCTAATAATCTACCCATCACATCCTACTTTTACCCATCACATCAAGAGTATTTATGTACCAATCTTTTTGGGACGGAGGGAGTATATTTTAATCTTATTTAGGTAAAGTTTTGAAAGAGTTTTAGGGTCATTTTATCTCCAAACTCTTTAAAAATTGTACAGAATCCCACTGGACTTTAAAAGCTACATGAATGGTCCCTAAACTTTTAAAAATGTTGCATAAGTGGTCCCTCTACGTCAGATTTATAATTGCATTAATCAAACGCTCATCTAGTGCAGGTATGAATTCGTCTGAACTCATATGTCACACGTGAGTTGTCCAATATGTTATTTCAAACATCTTTCATATTTTTGACATTTTGAAACCCTAAATGATTTTCTCGTTTTAACCATTGGTGACTATACTTGAAGCTTGGGCATCAATCAAGCTTTTTATCAATCCATAACATCTTAATCAAGCTCTAACAGGTATATAGATGAGCATGTCATTAACACACTCTGATCCTAATTCTAGTACAGAGAGACCATTGATGCAACGTTTTTAAAAGCTTAGGGACCATTGTTGTAATTTTAAAAGTTAAGGGTAATTCGTGCAGATTTTAAAAAGTTTGAGGGTAAATGACGTAAAAAACTCATTTTAAAAAGAAAAATGTTAAGTGTATTCCTAAGAGTATACTCAAAAATGTATCTCAAAGGTTTATACTTAAATTTTGATGGCTTGCATTGATACAAAATATTAGTCGATTGCAAATTTTCACACTAAAATTGTGTATCCATGTAAGCCATCAATCACGCACTTACATTGACATAAAATATAAGTATAAATCTTTGAGGAATATTTTAAGGTATAATGTTTGAAGTACAAATAAATTTATCTTAAAATAAAACTTTCACTATGTAAAATCGGGGACATTTCACATTGACATCTTATTTAGCAAACAAAAGCATAAAAAAATTTATTTTGGTACAGATTCAATATTTTAGTCTAGTTGATTTCTTAAAATAAAAAAGTTACTCGAAAGGAAAAAATTTAGGGAAATAAATAAATGGTTGTATTATATTCAACTATTCAAGAGTAAATTACATAAATGATCCTTTATAACAAGGGTTGTTGCATATTTAGTTCTCTATCATCAGACATTATCCTCGTGGTCTTTCTTTTGTGAGTATCTTTCCACAAATAATCTTTTTTTGACCTTCTGTAATGGTGGTGTTAATTTGACATCAACCTTATATTCATGATGTATTCTGATGTCGCCACAACAAGAATGACTATATATTAATGTGGGCTAGGATTCCAACGAAAGACTGCATCTGAAGACCATAGTTGTAGTAGAAAATAACTAGAATTAACAAATGATGCATCACAAGCGGCCTCTGAAACTGTGTGTGACAAAAGAGATATACGATCATTGTGAAATTATAGTTTTGGCTATCAAATTAACACCAACATGAAGGAAGATCAAAAAAAGACTATTTGTGCAAAGATACCCTTAAATGAAAGACCACATAGGTAATACTTAATGATAAAGGACTAAATAGGAAAAACATTTATTATAAAGAACCAATTAAGGAATTTATCCTTCTTCATTAAGGAAAAAGACTAAAGAAGAAAACATTGAAAACATATCAAAATAGGAGTTTCATGTTTTTATTTCAGAAATAAGAGTTAAAATGTATTTACATTACTAATCATGATCATGTACATTACGTAAAGTACACATGGAAAGTGCCAGAATACCACAATGCGAACTCCTATTTAGAGAATAAAAACATAAGAACTCCTATTTTGGTACTTTTTCTATGTTTTAGTCCTATTTAGGGTGAGTTCTTTCTTCATTATCATTCCCCTTCAAATGAACGCGATCATCTTCTTACCTCTTTAATTTTATATTTTTATCCTATACCTCGATTATTTTCATTGACTCAAGAGATTTTTTTTGGGTATGCAAACTGATTTGAGGCAAACCAATAGATAAAAAAGACTAAAGTCAGAGTAAAAATTATAAAACATCCTCCTATATACAATGCTAGGTGGAATTCTCTGTGAACAGTGTTCCCGCCTAAAGTAGGCGGGCCTTGCTGCGGTTTTGGGCCTGCTTTGGTTAATGGAATGGGCCTGCATTGGTTGATGAAATGGACCTGCATTGGTTGACGGAATTGGCCTGCATTGATATACGGAAATGGCCTGCTTTATGTCCATTCATTACTAGCTTCGAAAAAGTTGCATTGATAGCATAAATTTGGTGGCTCCATAAAGGTAGTTTTAAAAAAAAATTACTTTGTGTCAAATCCATCTATTTTAAAGATTTTTAAAATCTAAACCAATTAATGCATGGTTACATGTATCATGGAGCATGATTATAAATACTCAAGCATTATAAGGTAAACTTCATTCACTCCAAATTCACATCTCAAACATCCAAAAAAATCATCAAATGTCTCAAACGTCTTCTTTAAGCATGTGGTCTCCCGTTGGTGAGCTTGGCAACACTCGGCCGACTTTGATGTTCAAGTTACGGGCCGTGCGTGTGTATTTTGTTCCCGTTTGGACCAAAGGCGGAGATTCAATGGAAGTCGTTTTTCACGATGAACATGTATTACATTCAAAAAAAATTTGTACTTAATCGTAATGTATATATTAACTATTTCTAATCTAAACTCTCTTTGTTTGTATAGGGCGCAAGGATTCACGCACATCTCAAAAAACCGGAAAAAAAACGGTTTGAGAATCAAATTGTGGAGAACGGTGTTTATGGGATTCAGGATGTTTTTGTTCATGACAATTTCCAATCCGTCAAAACTACCTCAAATGAGAAACTTTTGGGTTTTTACGCAAAAACACAAGTCAAAACATTGGATGGAAGCGATTTTCCACGTTTCATGTTTGATTTAAAATCTTTTGCGACGATTCAAAACCAACCGATTTTGAACGATCAAGTCTTGATTGGTACTATATTATTTTTTAAACAAATTATCAAAGTATCATAATATGCAAACATTGTTGAATGATCATTCATACACACAAACTCATCGAGAAAATCAATGCAGATGTGATTGGGAAAATTGTTGGCCGGTCAAAAGTTCAAACACACATAAGAATGGGCAAAGAACAAAAATTGATGGAAATAACACTAGAAGATCATGAGTATGAATAAAATTTGATATGAAATGTTCATATAACATTATACATTCACTTTTGCTTAAGTGTGTGAAAATTTCAGGGGTAATCGTTTGGGATGTACCCTATGGGGAGAATATGTGGAAAGATTTTTGGGTTGTTTGACCCAAAATGTGCAGGAACCCATGATTCTACTCTTGAGTTTTTGCAAACCAAAATGCTACATGGGTAAGATAGAATTCCTCAAACTTTAATTGCAATATAAATTTTAATATTGTGTTACTAAAGATAAATTCTTTGTGTAGGTACTGTGACGGTGTCAACATCATTCCACGTAACAAATATGATTTTTGATGGCTATTCCGCTGAGGTCAATGCATTTAGAGCAAGGTGACAATTTATTTTATATTATTTTTTTCGGCCGAAATTATTATTATTTTTTTGTCTACTAACTATCTACTAATGAAATATTGTAGGTTACCATTGCATGTTGATGATGGGGGTCCAGTGGGTGGTCTCATGCTAGCTGGGGTAGATGATGATGATCACGGGGTTATGTCTATAACCACAATTAGAAATCTATTGGAGACAACTAAGGTAATAAAATAACACTTTCACGTTGAGAAGGAAAAATATAATACACTTAGACCTAACAATAATATTGAATCTATTGACAGCCTGGGCCATATTGGATTGTTGGTGAAATAGCATCTCTAGAAAATGTTGCTGATTGGTGTTATTTGGGATGTATTGATTGCAACAAGAAAGTAATCCCCGATGGCGAGAGTTTCAGGTGTTCCGGATGTCGCATTACTGTTCCTCATGGAGTTTACAAGTAACTATTGTTTAATTTCTTTTTGATTATTTAAAATTACAAATCATTTATGTTGCTATGTGGCCTATTGTTAATGCACGTTTTACACTTTATCAAATAGGTTCAAAGTTAATGTTCGTGTTTACGATTCAACCGGTCATGCCTCATTCATTCTTTGGGACAGAGAATGCAAGAATGTCTTGGGTGCAAGCGCCTTCTTATTGAGAGAGATTATGCTAGAGGTTATTTTCGGAATCTATGTTTCATAAAAAATTTGTAAAAGTAGTATATTCGTATGTCTAATTTTTTGGATATTATTGTTTTTTTGAACAGAGAAAAATGGATCCGAATTTGCTCCCAACCGAATTGAATCGCTTCCTTGGACAGAAGTGTTTGTTTAATGTTTTCTTGAAACCAGATGTCGGTAGTCCACACTGGACAGGGCCAAGGGCTTTTGGTGTTAGATCTTTGGTCACTGACCCGAAGATCTTGAAAAACTATGAACATGTTGCATTTGTGGAGGACAAGGAAGCCGAGGAAGAGAGTGAAGGTTGGTGGAATTCACTAGAAGATTTGAGCCAAAAAGTGAATGAAGTGGTATAATGCTTTTACTTCTAAGATAAACAAAAATATTAATAAAAGATGAGAAGATTAATAAGGATTTAAAATTTTATCTAACCATGTTCACTTGGCTCAAGTTCGGTCTCGCACTTGTGTTCCGGTTCTTTCTAACTACTACAGCATGAGAATGACTCCGTGAGAAGAGAATTATTTGATGAACTGGACGGGCAATCATCAAAGAAGAAGGCCAAAATGGTTCACGAGGATGTGTGAATGTTTAAGGACGGCTATGTAACCCCATTTTGGACAACCCTTTTTGTCTTTTGCTTAATGTTGTCTTTATGTTTTTGGGGTTATGAAAGTGTTTGTTAGTTGGTGGTTGTTTTATTATCCTAGACATTCTCCTTAAGTATTTTGTATGTTGAACTCTTAAGTTAGAAGTGTTTTTATAACACTTTAACTATTATCAAAGCTATTTGAAATGCTATCATTGGGTCATAAGAAAATGAGAAATTTGCATTCCTTTAGTGTTCTTATATTCAAAATAAAAATTTACATGTATACCAACTTACAATCTTTAATATAATATCATTGTGCTTATATTCAATGTAAAAATATACGTGTGCATATTTTATCACTAATTTATGGCAAAGTCAATTCAATAAAACAGCTAAGGAATCATAAACATACATAAAGTTTTGATAAAAATACATAAGTATGCATAGCCAACCATACGAAAACAATATATAATAAACTTATGGAAAATACATTAGTACTAATGGTTTATACAATGCTCCATTAATTTTTAGACTTTTGAAAATATCAAAATTTATTGGGTGTGTTGCTCAATGTAAAAAAAATGTGTTATTAAATATTGTTTTGAAACCCAAAGTGTAATGAATGTTAAATTTATGCCAATGCCGTATTAGATACACTTGAAATAAACGTTACATCCGAAATGTGGTACTAATTTCAGTAAATAAGTAAATAAGGTGAAGAAAAAAATTTTATACATACGAATATACAAAATTATTGTTTCGGTATGCACATATTGGTGTGTAGCCCAATGTGTAATTAATATCGTATTTATCAAATCAGGATTTTCAAACATTGAAAAAATAAGTCCATATTTTGGTACTAATTTAGAAAAATATATAATTTTATGTTAAACATACATGCCTATAAGTTAAGAACCTTGAAAATAATTATTAAAAAATGAAGCATGCGAGATATTAGATTTATGAGGTGTGTGGCCCTATGTCTATTAAATGTGAAGTTACACATTGGTGGGTGGCCCAATGCTAATTTTTTTAATGGAAATTCGAAAAAATCAATTTGTGAGGTGTGTGGCCCAATGTGTAATAAATATAATATTTTCTAAAATCCCATTGAAGTAACTTCTTTAAAAAAATAAGTTGTTTTAACACTCCTAGAGCCACACGCCTGGGACTGCATTAAATGAGATTTTACTACCTTCATTATGACCTAGGCCTATTCACTATTTTCCTTTATTTTGTTTAAATGGACTCTGCGAATTATTTGAATTATGAGGTGTGTGGCCCAATGTGTATTAAATGTAAAGTTACACATTGGTGGGTGGCCCAATGCTCCTTTTTTTAATGGAAATTCGAAAAAATTAATTTGTGAGTTGTGATGCCCAATGTGTAATAAATATCATATTTTCCAAAATCCCATCGAAGTGACTTCTTCAAATATTAAATGTTTCTAAATATACAAATACATTTGTATATACATTTACAAATACATAAATATTTGTACATTTGTATATACATTTAGAAAATATTATATGTTACATTTACAAATATTAAATGTTTCTATATTAGCTCTTTGGTGTTAAATAGTGTATTAATATTTTCATCTAAAAATTGTTAAAATATTTCTAAATATACAAATACATGTATTTATTCTGTGCCTATATTTATATATATACGTGGTGTGCGTGTGTGTGTGTGTGTGTGTGTGTGTATCTATATGTATATATATATATATATATATATATATATATATATATATATATATATATATATATATATATATATATATATATATATATATATCTTAATATACATATAAGCAGTAAATATTTATACAATTATAAATCCAGTAATGGGAACTCGAACCCTAATTAATACAACCACAGAACGTTGAGCCACACACCTATATCACCTAGGCTTTAGTTCCTTGCATTTAATACACTAAATAGGATTGCAAGTATATTAGTGTTTCCCTCTAACTTACCTCATTTATTTCTCAACCTCCTAATCAATTATCTCATTGAAGTTGATATTGAGCATTCAAGACTAGCATTAAACTCTTCCTCTCTAAGATTTACACTCTACTGATTTGAAAATGGTTTTAAGAAAAAAATATGTTTTGCTTCGTGTGTCTAGACTTATTATTCTTAAAATTCCTAAAAGACTAATGTTTTAAAGTTATTGAAAATGCCAGTGACTGAAAAAATCAGTTTTGGCAAATATTTTCAAACAGGAATTAGCGAGCTCATTTAATTATATCATTGTAATTCAAACAGGATACCTGTGATAAGTGTCTCCCCGATGAGAAAGCTCACGAAATCTGAAAGAATATTTTCAATACATGATTGAGAAGAGGAATTGGACAAAGGTAACTTATATTGCTTACATAAATTAATAAAGAAAAAATTAACATATATATATATATATACACACACACACACACACTTAATATAAATAAAAATATTTCATTACCTGTTTAAAAGACATACCAGCCATGACGATCTCTGTCTACTTTTAATTTTCTGCCTTAATAAAACTTTTAATGTGCAATAGAACCTTAATCATGTTCAACATTTCTTATTGAACATGGTCAATAAGGTTCGAATTGCTTTTTTGTAAACATTCATGTATACTCCCTGTTTTATATTATTATTTTTTAACATTAGCAATGAATATTTCGCGTTTAAGACTAAAGATGTCTGAGAAAACTTCAGAAAAATAAGAACTTTTTAATTATTCTTAAAAATTATTTGTACAAAAAAATTCATTTTTTAAATTCTTTTCAAAGCACCTAATCTGAAAATAGGTATAGAAATAATATCATACATCTACGAATGAGAGTAAAAAGATTAGATATGTTCTTTTAAAAATTATGAAATTCACTTCGAAATTATGAATTACTGGAAAAATATAAATTTCTTCAACAAGATAGGCCTTTTACATAGATTATAATCGATTAAATATACTACTCTTTTCACAAACAAATTTGAAAAAACAGATATGTACTCTTAAGAACACATCTTCAATAACCGGAGTAAAAAATATTCTTGATAAACTAAGAAATTCTATGCATGTCGTTTGAATTACTCAAAATATTTTAATAACATCTTTTTATAAAATGATTTTTAAAAAACATGAGTCATCTAGCGGCTAACATGCATCTAGGAGTAAGATCCTAAGAATTTAACATAGAAGAATAAATGAAAATATTCAGATCTAATATTTCATAATAATCTTTGAAAAAAGGGAGTATAAAATCATGAAGATAATCCGATGGAAATATAACAAAAAAATTTCACCCAAATTACCCCTGATTCAAATCATCTGCTGTCCTTGAACCACCACATCTTAAGATTGCCGCACGATCGATCTACAATCACATCGCTATTGTATGGAGATTATAAAGCGGTGTGTTCATAACATCTCAATTAGAGGTCGGCGGTTGGAAGAAATCGCTGATATAGGGATTTTGGGAGATAAGGGATAAGGCGGCGATTTGTGTGGACGGCCAGTGGGAGAGAATGGATAAGACGTGGGATAGTAGGGCATAAAAACGGCATATTGTACTTGGGCCGGTTTTAATTAATATTTGGGAATAAAACTTTGGGCTGGATTTGGTTTTTGGACTTTAATTTGCAATTTTAGTTTTGTACTTGGACAAAAATTTTGGACGGTCGTAATTAAATTTAGGCCCAATTAATAAAAACTTTATTTTGTGTGTGAACAATATTTGTTCCGATTTCGTATGCCCGAGATTTACAATTTATATCTTAATAAATGATTTTTTTTCCTACATATATAGGAGGAATTGGAAGTTTAATTGAGCCATGTTACAAGTGCAAGAGTAACGAGGATTCACTTGATATGGAAATGTGTTGGATATGCAAAAATGTTTCGGGTCATCTTCGCTACCTATGCATTGGTGATGTTGGGTGGGGTATATATTTTAAATGTGATCTTTGTGCACTTTTCCACCACCACCACCAACTTCACAACCTATGCCACCCCTAATGTTTGCACTTCCACCACCAACTTCACAACCTATGCCACCCATAATGTTTGCACTTCCACCACCAACTTCACAACCTATGCCACCCATAACGTTTGCACCGCCACCACCAATTTCACAACCTATGCCACCCATAACGATTGCACCGTCACCACCAACTTCACAACCTATGCCACACATAACAATTGCACCACCTCTGCCACGTTTGATGACTGCAATGCCGACGATGCAAGTGACAGTTACACCGCTGGAATTGAAAAGATCTATGTAACGCCCCAAAACATACCCTAGAATTATTATTAAATAATTATTCGATTAAACAATTTTTTTTGATTATTATTGGGCTTTGGGCCGATATGAAATATTTTTTAATATCCAATATCAAAATCTGGATAAGTCTAATCGAGATAAATCCAATATGTGGACTATTTGTGTGGTCTTGATTGGGAACCTGAGTACAGACCCAAATCAAGAATAAATAAATTAATTAATTATGATGTGAACTTTGTAATGATTTATTGAAATAAATCATGAGAATAATTGATATGAATTAAATGAGAGAACCTTTTATGAGAAAGGTCAATTAAACCAATTTTGACTCTGTTAAAGTCAAACACCCAAAAATATGATGTCGGAAAAAGTATTACAAATAATTATGAAAAGTATATCGTTGGATAGAGCTCGACTTTCTGATCGCAACGGTGCAAACGGATTTCAATTCAGAGAAAGTTGGACCAAAAAGTGTTCCCCGACTGGGACCAAATTAGTCCCAATCAGGGACTTGCGTTTGGAATTGTAGAGATAGGTCGTCCGCTCCACTGAGACGCCAAAACAGGAGAATGGAGTCATCAC